ATATATATATGCGTTTCCTACTGTGTGGAAGATGAAAAAATTTAAAGACCATCAGATTGAAGGGGTAGAGTGGATGTGGGAGAGAGTTAGGAATCGGAAGGGCGTTGTATTGAGTGATGAAATGGGGACAGGGAAGACCCTTCAGTCTTTGGAGATAATTCAGAGAGTCTGGAACTCCATTGGAAAGTCAGTTCTTATTGTCGCACCGTGCACCCTCCTGCACAACTGGGAGAAGGAAATGGAGAAGTTTCAGTTTCCAATTCCTGCCCGAATTGTTAGATCTAGTGACACGAATGGGGTGCAATTAGTTAATGCAGCAGACGGAGAATATATTCTAATAGTGAATTATGAGCTGCTTCAGAAGAAGAAGAGTGTATTCCTGCAGACATTCTTTGATTTGGTTGTATTTGATGAAGCACAAAGGATAAAGAACCATACGACATGGGTCTCCAGGATATCCAGAACTATTGATGCAATGTGCAAGATATGCGTCACAGGTACGCCTATACAGAATAGTCTGTCAGAACTATGGAGCATAGCAGAGACTGTGAGACCTGGGTACTTTGGGGACTATACCACGTTCAAGGCTGAAATAGAAGACCCCTTGAAGAAGAGCACACTGAAGCACGCGACTGAATTGGAGAAAAGGAAAGGGGCTTCAATTAAGAAGCACATTAATGAGCTTATTGCGGATGTAGTAATAAGAAGAACGAAGAAGGAAATATTCAATGAGGAGTTTAAGAAAAGGGAAGGACTATTTGTCCCAAAGAGAAAGGAGTATGTGATATACTGCGGATTCACAGAGGAGCAGGAGGCTGTATATAATGACGTGCTGAATATGGACCTAGTTAAGAGCACTGTTCTTGGCAGGAAATCTCCTTTGAAGAGCATATCACACCTGAAGAGCGTATGCAGCCATCCATCGCTTGTGGATAAAAGAGTAACCAGCTGGCATGCAAGTGGAAAGATGAAAGTGGTCCATAGATTGCTGTTTATGTGGAGGTCTTCAAATAGAAAGATCATTCTGTTTAGTCAGTACAAGAACACGCTTAAGATTCTTGAAAGATTCATAGACACGCATGTATATAGGATTGACGGGGACAGTCCAATAGGCAAGAGAGAAGAAATATTTAAAATATTTGGAAGTAAAGACGGGATGGAGGTGCTTTTAATGAGCATGAAGGTGGGGGGCGTTGGAGTGAATTTGCAGAAGAGTGATACTGTGATTCTATTTGACATTGACTGGAACCCATTTAATGAGGAGCAAGCTAAAGGAAGGGCACACAGAATAGGACAGGAGAAAGAAGTGGAAGTGTACAGATTACTGTGCAAAGGCACAATTGAAGAGACCATACAGATGATACAAGATGTGAAAAGAACTATTTCGAAGGGGGTTCTGGACGGGATAAGCTCGAAGAAAGTCTTTGATAAGGTGGATCTGTGCAAACTATTCCATTACTCACACGACCCAACTGATGTTACAGATATAGATAATCTTGTCCCAACGGAAGAGACTGACCTATAGGATTCTTAAGTGCTGCATGAGAGTGTATAATAGTGTAGACACAGCCTGTAAGAATAGTATCTTTAAATTGAAGGGCCCTTATTGCCTGTTTTATGTGGCAATGTGTCTACTTCTTTATTGAAGAGGCATATACATATTTTGAGTGCACGGTTCTGAGGGTATAATAGAACTATAGAATAGAATACTGCTGTATAATTTTACAAATAAATATGCAGAAATACTGCACATTATAAATGAACAAAGTGAATAGTACTGGGTGCATACTTTCCCTGCACCATAGTACGATAAAAATAATAAAGAAATGCTTTTATCCATCTATGCTTATAATATTGCTTACTTTCTTGTGGAATGACTGTCTTTTGATTGTTTGCTAGTGACATGCCTAAAGGGAGGGGTATTCCCGCCAGGTGATAGTAGTTTAAGATAGATAGTAGATAGGGGTATTTGCCAAGAATAACTCAAGTACAATGGCAAGCAGCTACAGAATATTTGTATATCTGTAAAGATAGGAATCATAATACTACAACTCTTTTAATGAAAGGTATATTTATTGACTAAGATCCTGTCAGAGAGGATGCCTATAAAACTCTACTGGCCACAGAGAACAAAACAACACTCATACTATTCCTTACGGAGGCCATAATACTTCTGTGTATTCGACTGCTAGTATAATACAATCCTCCTTGACAACAGCTCTATCGAGCTATATACTACTATCTCCCTGCCAGGTTGCCATCTTCTCTTAGACGTGTCAGTGTCTCTGGGCTATTTCGAGTTATAGGTATACCACAGGAACATGTCATTTTACAACTTCTAGCTTTATAAATAAATCCTTTAAAAACTTGTCTGTATATTGTCCGGGCTAGAGGCAAGCACATAGAAAACAGGCTACACTGGGCTATTTTAAGAATATTATCTATTGCATTTATTACTATGTGATAAACATGCTGTTTATACTATGTTAGGCATAAATAATAGTCTCTTCTAGTTGGCTCAAACAGAATATGTCTACTTGGTTATGTGCTTCTAGTGACTGCTTCTATATATGTAGGAAGTTCTGATTGCTCCGTGGTATTGCTACCTACAGAAGATGCTGTGCTTCTCATGGCTTCATCATATGTTGGGGGGAAGTGCTCTGGCCTGCTTGAGCTTATTAAAGGAGAAAGTTCTTGTCTGTTTGTATACGCTGGGTTATTCAATCTTTGTATATCTGAATCTGACATTGATTCTTCTTGAATTGTTGATAATCCTGGTCTATATCTATTTGTGCCTCTAGTTCTATATATTACGTGATGTGTTTCTGCAGTTACTCTTCTGAGAAAACGCTTTAGTAATAAAATTGTAACCGTAAATCCAATTAAAAGTAGTATCAAAATACCAAATAAAATTAATTCATGGCTTCCCATTTCTTCAATTGGGCGATTGTCTTCTTCACACCATATTTCATGTGGCTCACAGTTGGTTTCTTGTACTGAAGATGGTATACTCTGCTCGTCCATTTAAAACTTTGCAAAAATACTATTAATAAATCATTTAAAACAGCAGTTATGATTTTACTGTATATAATTATTTTAATAGGCAAATATTATTATTTTATTCTGCTGTAAGAGCGTAAACTCCTACTCTTATGCCAGACACACTGATAGTTGCAGTGGCCATCTTTGGTTCTTAGTTATGAACAGTGCACCAAATGATTCTTCCTATTTTCACAGTTTGGCTTTGTAAGTTAGATCCCAGGTCTTTTTTATTAGTCTGCAACTTGTCAACTGTGTACTTTACTACTCTGGCTATATTGCTTAAGAGTTTTTAAGTCGCAGTATGCATATATTTGTTGTTTTAAAAACAAATTTGCTTGGGTTTTATGCTTATCTATTACATATGTTTTCTATGGTTGCTTGCCTCTGCCTAACTTATTTTCTCTTACTTTTTATATACCTGTAAAAAATATCTCTTCCATACTTCATATACAAATATATAAGTAGAAGGGGTTTTTCTCAAAAAAAAGAGGAAAGCACAGGAAAATCCAAAAAATGACATATTTTAAAGACCCATCCATGCACCGTCGCTATCCAAAGTGGTTTAGCATACAGTACAAACAAGAGATTTGATGTATAAAGAGAACATACGATGCATGCAATGTTGACATGTGGTGTGTCTTGTTATGCTCTTGTGTTTGGTTATGCATATTGCAATCTTGTCTAAATGAGCTTTCTTAAGGAATAATGTCTAGCTCTATATCCAACCTGGAGTCATGTGCTTAGTCAATTCTATTAAAATAATTTTATTTGAAACTCTGTACAGCAGAAAGAAAGATACAAAGTAGTATTGCTACTAAAATAGTCACTCAATCGCTGTAAACAAAGAAGTGGATGTAAACCGCTGTCTAATCTATTCTAAAAAAAAGACTTAATCCATGCAATACAAGATCTCACAATTCCTCTTACCCATTGGTATAAACTCTTTTTTATAACAATTGTTCCTGGGCACCGTCTTCCAAGTTGTTCTAATACTTTGTTGTATTTTTCTACACTCTGTTCACTGCCTTCTGAGCACAGCATAGTCTTATTTCTCTCTAAAACTAGAATAGTATTTATGAAGTATGGGATATGGTCTGATAGATTAGGATCATGTGGGGTAGTCAATTCTTCTGTTTTTATAAGGTTGTAAATAAGAACAATGGCATTTAGGCTAGGGTTTGGCCCCATACATGCATTAATAAGCCAGCCCACGTAGATATAGTTGAGGCTTTCTTCTGGCGCCTTGGTTTTCTCAAGTATAGATCGAAGCTTTGCAAATTGAGCTATTTTCCCTTGTGCCACTATAACATTAAATATGCTTCTGTTCTGCTGTTTGCTTCCCAGTAAAGAATACATAGCATTTCTACGTATGGGCTGATTGAGATAGTTTTCTATACATTTTACTGCAAATCCTATTGATTTCTTTTTTAGTATACATCCATACATAGAATCTATATTAGGCCTATAAGAATTTTGCACTAATATATTGTTGAATAATAAATAGCTAAGCTGTGGATAATGTGTCTGGCAACTTGAAAGGAAGAGAAGAGGGGACAGCATACGGCCCCGTATATACTCTTTATCAAGTGGAGCACTTCCCAGAACGTTTGCAACAAAGCGTGTTGCAGGATTGGTTGGGCTCAATTCGTTTTCTATCAAGTGGAGTATAAATTGTTCTATAATATGGATCTTACACTCTTTGTTAGCAATCTTTCCTATTAAGAATAATTTAGATACATTTTCGTATCCAGTACTTAAAATAGCGTCTGTTCTCTCTATAGGATAACGCCAGCTATACCGCTGCGCCATAAAAGATGTATCTTCTATTTCCAAGTCAATGTACCGATTAACAGTATACATAATGTAGCTGCATGTGTCTGTATACATCCTTCTTACTTCTTCATACTGGTTTGTATTGCTAGAGTCTATGCCTGAACCCTCAATAAAATTAAAAGTAGCATAGTCTCTTTTTAGTTGTAATATAAAAGTGCTATTTTTATAGTTATGCGTAGAAACAATATGAATTCCACCAAGAATATCGGCGCTTTCATCTGGTCTGTGGCCCAGTTTCATGCCCCAATCCATTACTAATATGCCTAATTTAGGAGATGCTAAAGACCTAAAAACTTCCTGCATCTTAGATGCAATATCATGTATTTTGCTGATGTCTAGATTGTTTTCTCTACATCTTTCTTCTATATACTCAACTAGATCCACTATGTCTGTGCCAGTCTTCTGCCCGGTTATTTCTGCTATGACAAGCAAAATATTTGCAAGACCAGACTCAAGCTGGTTTCTGTTGTGTCTGTACTGGATTTTCTTGTTGTCCAGGCAAGAAACGACCTTACTCCACTCCATGTGCATTTCTAAGGTAATAGTGTCAGTTGGCTTAGGATACTTTTTAAAGAAGGCAGTTACTGCTGGGCTTACTTCTTCTCCCATGTGGCTGGTTTCGTACTCTTTTTTCTCTGGGTTGTATGCCAAGCAGCAGAACAGCCCAAGAAGAGCTGTTTCTGTGTGGTTTATGTAGTCTAAAGTGCGGTCCTCCTCAAAGCCAGATAGATCCTGCTTGTACTGCGGTACTTTGACAGCTATTGGAAGCGTGCTTTCCTTCCAGAAGGAAAAGGCTGCTTCTTCAGTTTTGTTCTTTACCAGATCACAGAAAGACGTAATATATTTCATGCTTGCACTGGCAGACTCTTCGCGGAGGAACAGTTTATGGAATATTTGACTCTTCTTATTGCTACTTGCATTTCCTGTGTTATATTGGTCTATGGCAGCCTGCTGCTCTTCCTTAGCACCGCTCTGGCCAATGAGAAGCTCGCTCTTCTCCTCTTCTGTCATTTGGTCAAGAAGCAGCTCATGCACTGCCTCCACAAAACTTGCATACTCCGCAAAGCTGTCAATGAAGTGATATATGTACGTCTGCATGAGGAACTCTAAGCTGTTCAAAAAGTCTCCCGTGTCAAATGCCTCCTGGCTGGACGGCATTACAAATGCGGGTGCTTTTCTAATTACTATTCTGTCTTTGCACCGTACACAGAAGTTGACAATCTCTTCCACTTCACTTTGGTAAATGCTGTCGATGCGCAGATTTGTAGCAGGGTCAATGCCTGCAGTGTACAGCTCTACATCTGCAAACTTTTTTCCCTTGCATGTCTTGCTCTTTATGACAAGTCTCTTTTTCTCCCCTGAGTGGTCCACGCCTATTTGGACGTCAATCTCTTCTGAAAGAAGCAGCAGCGCTGCAAGAATGTACTTGGCATCCTGCTTAACATGGTCTGCCCTTAAGAAGTTTGTAAGTGCATTTGGCCGGGTAGTCTCAATTGAGAGGTCTCCATGCTCGGATGGAAACATCTTTAAGAGCTGTGCATGGTACGCGCTGAGATATCTTCCATCAGAGCCACTAACACCCAGCTCTTTGTATATCTTATCATTTGCAGGCGTTCTTGTAAATCCGTACTTTTGTGTGCTGTTAACTGCCGATCCATTTTCATATAACGCATAGTCTGTTTCTATTTCAGGAGAAAAAACCGCTTGTTGTACATGTATCCGTTTTGGAAGCCCATATATCCGCAATAGCAGATTCAGAGGGCCCTCTGGGTTAATGAATAGCCGTTGGCTGCCTTTTATCTTAGTTTCATGCGCTCTTCTTATATCTTCCACAGAAACTCTTGCAAAGAGATTCTGCACCATAAACAAACTAGCAATCACCCTGTAGATCATTTAATGGAAAATGAAAAATTTTAACTTAACTACTACAGCACCTGGTTTAAGTTGCACTGAAATAACAGCTATTTCAGGTATATAACTCGAACAACTTTTCCAGCACATTTATGGCGTACTTTCACATATTCATTCAATCATATGAAGTGGCAATGTATTTAAAAATGACAGAGTACTTAAGACAAATTTATTATAAGTGCAGAAGCCAAGAGTATTTTTTCTAAAAATAAAAGTTGTTTTCTTAG